GAGTGAAATTAAACGCTTCATTTAAGCTGTTGAAACACTTGATAAGAATCCCAAAGAAATATTCACTGAAATTTGCAACCAATGCCTGTTTTATAGACACATGAGCAGGTGGATTTCAATGAACAATAATGATATAATGAGCATCAAAAATGGGTGCCGTCCTTGGCGACAAGGACTTAAAACAACCAATGTTCTGTTTGCCAAAATTCAACAAATTATCACTTATAATGTTTGATTGACTTTGTACACATAGCAAAAGACTTTATTCGGTAATAACCAATAATTGTCCCCCAAATAAAACTTTGACAAAGAAATATTTAATTTTGTTCTAAAACAGGGGGATATATGCTGACTTCAAACTGAATATTTGCATAAGCAATTACGTCATATGTTTGAAATGACGTCACGAACACGACGTTAATTTAAAAATTCCATGATTTCTACAGAAAAAAATGTATATATTACGTCGATATTTTGAGTAAAAGTCACCGAGCGCAGGTCTGATCAGGCTTAATATTTTGATATAATATGTAGAATGATAATATCAATGAAATATGTAAATATTGTTCCTGAACAAATCTGCGCTCTATAAATTTAAGAGCTAAAAGTGTTGAAATTTTGTCCATTTTGTCCTCTTTCTTAAAAATGAAATAAAATTGGACATGTTTGGGACGTCATGAAAACAAAAATTGTCAATAAAGTACTTTGAAACTATAATTTATTCTGTTAATTTATATTTCTCGTACAATTTTTAGAATTCAGCATATTTCAAGAATATTTCAAAATTTGACTTTTTTTTGGGGGGGGGTTGGGGGGTGGGGGGTGGGGGCAAAGATATGCAATATACCGCATATAGTTCTTTAACATAGGCATCAATTTGGGGTAGTTTAAACTATTTTAAAAGTACATTTGACAGTAAAAAAAAGCTTAGTACTTAATGGTCATCCTATGTTTTGAAAAATGAGTGAAAACATCATCGTGTAAGAATATCTAAACAATTATGCTAAAAAATCAGAAATGTAGTTATCTACGTTTGTCTGAAATTCAAACAGATAATGAAACTAAAATCCATTGCTTTAGTACCCTCAAAACATTTTTACAATAAGATGCACTTGACAAAGACAGCAAAGGTCTGAAAAAAGCAAAGAATTACATTTATAATTAGAGGACACAGACAGTTTTATGTACAATTTTCTTAAATATTAGTGGTCTTGTTCTAATTCTTATTCTGTAAGGCAGTTCAATTTCTGGATGAGTCTAGAAAGCAATTTTTTGGCAAAAAATCGAAAAGTTTTCGAGCGGAAAGAACTCGAATCAGGAATTCAATACATTAAATTTCTTCATGACAGCGTCCAAACCCACACGCCATGAAGAGTAAAAGAGTTTTTGGGATAAACAGAAAGGTAATATTTTTGTCACACAGTAATATTCTCCAGATCTGTAACCCTTTCACTTTGTTCATTTTCCAAATTTGAAAAAAAAACACCTTTCAGAAAGAAGAAACAAGTACAGGAAATCATAGGATCTGCCATAATCCATTATACGAAGGGCCATACTCAAAGTTCTCAGAAGTACAGAGAGCCGGGCTCATTTACAGAATAGAATGAATTTCGTACATGAATCATACGTTTATATTCTGATGAAAAAATTATTTTAAAACTATCAATATATACTGAAAGGATTAAGAAACGCATATTAAACTTTTGAGTTAAATTAAAACAATTATTTCAAATATGTTTTACACCATTGTTATCATACATTTTAATTCATCTTTAATCAACAAGATACCAAACTTTTGTGTGATTTTGAGTGATAATTCCTGAGATATTGATATCAATATGTCGACACCCCCCCCCCCCCCCCCCCAAATAAAACTAAAAATTCTCATAATCTCCCTTTCGCATCAGTAACAATCTTGATTTTCCTGTGCATTGAGTTCACCAGAGCAGTTATCTTTTTCAGAACATTATTATTCAACCATTCCGACGGTAGTCTTAATGGCTGAGATTAGCTGTATTATTCCAAAGCCAACAAATCCCCCCGCCCAATCGAATGCAAATTTTCGATTTAGGATAGAATGTACAGAACCCAGCAGGTTTGGTACACGTGGATGTTTGTAAAAAAATTCTCGACAAACATAAGCTAAATTTTTCCAGTGTAAACATGCTAAAAAAATCACGCAAACTACGCGTACGTGCCCGTTTTAGAGTAAAATCGACGTAAAGTAGCCAAGCTCACGGCCCAAATTAGAGCAGAGAGTTTCTGTTAATTTATGATGAAAAAAATGAGTATGATTGTCTGCTGTATAAATATCAGTTTCAGTTATAATGCCTTGACTATAACAGAGGTGGCATTATGAAAAGCCCCATCTTGTTGTGACGCTGTTACGCGCCAACGTCGCCGTCATGGTTGGTTGGAAACATTTTAAGTTAACTCTCTGACAACCAAAAAAACTTTTATTTGGTTGAAAAGTTGAAAACAATCTGTACAGCAGCATGTTTTTGCCTTTTTATTCACTCATGCAATATTGAATTTAATTACTAAACCCACAGTAGATTTCGTCAGCCATACCACGATTGCAAGAAATTTATACTGTCTGCAAATATGCAAAAACGATTTCTATAACTCTAATGCATCGTATGGCACTACAAAATTTTATCACAAAATTATCATCATCAACATTCACGTGTTTTTGACTTTTTATCATTTCCCCTACGTGACGCCATACATTTCATGGTTGAGTAGTTTTAACTAGCGATTTTAGTGCAAAGTAACCAAAATACACATCTGACCAATTTTCATATTTTTCGGCCACATAGTCAAAATAATTTCCCATATTATGTTCTTATGCATTTCTTTTTCCTTTCAGTATACATGTAAAGACACTGACAGTGATTTTTTTCGATCCTAATACCACGGTCCGAATTTGTCAGAATCAGAATAATCTGGTACCGCAGCTGAATGTAAACAAACAGGCCAGTCTGGTTCCCTCTGCTGCTTTACCTCGTTTGTGTAGAGAACTACGATAACACTAATTATCAAAAATCATTACGCTAATGAACTATGTTCTTTGACTTAGAACTGAAGTTTTCAAAGTCATTACTACTTATGTTTTATAAAGATATAACTTCGCTTTGTTTTTGTTGCTTTATTTAGCGTTTGTATTATCTCAAAAGCGGTTGAGCAAGAACTATATTTTTACTCGTAACTTTAAAATGGCGACTATGGGGTTGACTTCCTGCCTTGAACAGGATGACATAAGCCGGCAATTGCTCTTTGAGCAATAAGCCCGGCTAAAAATGAGTTCTAAAAACAATCAGAAAATGGATGAAAATGTTTTTGACAAGTGTTTTAATTCACAGATAATATTTAAGTTAAATCATTCAGACTTATTGAAAAACGTCTTTTGCTTCTTTCCGACCACCGAGGACATTATTTCTTGAACAGGTCTCGTATTAGGGTTAGATAGAAAACATTGATTTACGGAAAATCTATTGTGTACAGTGATGTATGACCTATGTTTGATTAAATTCTTATCTTTTGTTTATCAGTATGTAAATTCTAGTCCATTTACTAGAACTTTACAACGGTTTTTACTATGTGGTCATTGGATTCAATCACAATCACAACCAGATTTCAAACCCGTTACGCTATTTATTCTATATATCTTTCATTTCTTTAGACTTTTCTTGTCTTTTTACTTCTTAAAAATTAAACATCTTTATCAACACAAGTTACTTTTCTTTATAATGCCTTTTGTGTTGTTTCGGATATTAGTGAGATCTTAAATAAATGCCTTTGCAGTTAAGCGATCACACAACTTCCATGCGATAACAGGAGTACTGAGGTATCGCTGGAGTTCATCATTAAACATGTTGATCCTGACATTCATATAAAACTACTACTATTTGAATACTTTTGTCCTTTGTACTTGTAGGTAATTTCCAACAGCATCTAGAAGCATTTTAGTTTATTTTTAGACATTTTTTTGTGTACATATATAAATTTTAGTAGCTCAATGACGTTCACAATCTTGGCTTTGTTTTTGCGCGTTGATTATAGAGGCCTATATACTGTACGTATGTAAATGTGGAAAAAGTAGCATGCTCTGTGAAGCATGTTTTATCAAGATGAAATAGCTGTATATTTTTTAGGATCACCGGAAAACATCAAATCTTTGTATATTTATTGGAAAATATGTTAAGTTTTTATCTGGAGAGTTTAACCAGTTTCATGGAAATAACGCGCTCACAACAGAACTTGTCCGCGAACTTTTCCAACAACACTTATGCAGCAAAAATCGGTAGTTTTGGGGGCCTGCGAATTTAGAATATACCTATATATGTAATTCGTTATATACGTATAAAGAATTCGTTAAAGTATGCTTAGCGAATTCGTTAAATCAATTTTTTTTCTTCAAGTATGACTACCAAATCTGTTTAAGGAAGTTGAAAATGTAAAATTTATCTTGGAGTTCAAAAATTTTAGAATGAATTGAGTTTCAGAAATTCATATACTTACAAAACTATTATCAGTTCAATATTCTAAAAATTAAGATCATTAAAAATTCGCTGTAAAAGGTGTTAATTTTGTTATATTTATCTTCTGTGGGACGCAAAATCAGCTCGCTATATCCGTAATTTCGCTATTTCCGAGTTTGTTATTCGTAAAATTTTACAAGAAATTGTTAAGAGTTTTGCCTGAGATTGCAAAGAGCCTTGTTACTCCGCTTTCGTACTAAACGAGTTTTAATGTAGATGACTTACAATTTCTTATATTTTAAAACTTTTAATATATTTATACTTTTTATAGTCACATCATTTACGATCTAAAAAAGTTCCAAAAGAACTATACCTCGTATATGCTGTGTAAAACGTTTAATGGCAACTACCAAACTTCTTTTTTTTATCATTTGTATGTAATCAATTAGAGTAAATCTGACTAACATACGGATTTCTTCAAAATGAAGAGGACAAAAACGTTTTCAGTTTGAAAAAAAGCTGTCAGTCATAAAAAAGATAGCCAATCATTCTCTTTGCCAATATTTTTATGCAAATCAGTTGTCTTTTAATAGAGACACTCCACTAACGTACACAGTCTGCTCTTAAACATCAGCCATAATGCACGCTGGAAAGGTAAGTCAAATACTAAGATATGTTTCATACATGTAATTATTAAAATTTTCTTAAATTCTAATTACAAAATTAGAAACTTTTTTTTTAAAAGGCCTGCGTAATAAATATATAGTTTTGAGTATGTCGAATGAAGGAAAATTGTGGGAAGTAAATCCTATGCTTTAACTTTTTTTAAATTCATTTGAAAAAAACTAACCGGAGGTATGGAAACACAATGTCTGTTAATTTTTTTTTAAAGTGTGTTGTGGTGCAATTTCACCTTGATTGCTTCATTAGAACTTGTAGTCATGATTTATTTTATAATATATTTTTTTAATAAAAAGAATCTTCAAGTTAAACCTTTAATTAAATAAAATCTTTTAAAATGTACTTATCATATAAGAACAGTATAAATAACTCTTTTGAATAAGAAAAATCTGATAAGCACTGTGAGTGTGAATTAATTCATTGATTACTTTAATAATTGACAATTTTTTTCATCTACATGTATTTCAATTTGTCTTTTTATGCACCCGAATCGAAAGATCCGAGGCGTATTATTGTTTTTGTCCTGTCTGTCTGTCTATCGGTCTGTTTGTCTGCAAACTTTAACCTTCGCCATAACTTTTGAACCATGAATGATAGAGACTTTATATTTGGCATGCCTACTCCACTAATGAAGCTCTTTAAAATGACACCAAGATCAATGACCTTGTGACCTTGACTGTGCTGTACCTATATGCTAAAAATAGAGGTTTTTTGCAAACTTTAACCTTTGCCATAACTTTTGAACCATAAAAGATAGAGACTTCATATTTGGTATACATACAACACTTATTAAGCTTTTTTAAAAGACACCATGGTCAAGGACCTTGTGACCTTGACTGTGGCCTATACGCTAAATATAGCTTTTTTGACAGCAAACTTTAACCTTCGCCATAACTTTTGAACGAAGAAAGATAGAGACTTAATATTTGGCATGCATACCCCACTTATAAAGCCCTTTCACACGACACCAAGGTCAATGACCTTGTTACCTTGACTGTGTCTTATATGCTAAAAATAGCTTTTTTGAACCTTCACCATAACTTTTTAACCATGAAAGATAGAGACTTCATATTTGATATGCATACTTCACTAATAAAGATCTTTCAAAAGACACCAAGATCAATGACCTTGTGACATTCACTGTGACCTTTGTGCTAAAATATGTTTTTTAAATTTGTTGCCGCCGGGCGCATAGTGTTTCACAAACACATCTTGTTTAAAAATCTTCTTTGTCGACATTTGTAACATACTTAACGGAACACGGTAGACTTTACTTTACCGGTCCCTAGATCCGCAAGATTCTCGTGCTCATTGTACTATGAAGTAACATTTACACACTATTTAATTCGACTGATTCGGGTTAGTCTTGCACCAGCATGAGAGATTACGGTAAGTCCTTGCACAGGTATTCCACTGACTAGGGTCGTCTGGCGTTCATCCTTGAGTTAAGGGTTACAGTAGTCCTCACACACTATTTGACTGGGTTGGTGTAGCATCTACACGGGAGATTTCGGCTAAACGTCTTAGTCCTCGAATATCATCCGAGAGATAAGGGTTAGTGACTCGTTCTTTTAAATAAATTAAGAAATTCAATTGCTTCTGTAATTTTTGCAAGGTCATAATTCAGTTTCAACGTCATTAATTGCTTTTTTATTCGGAAGAATGGCCAAGTCCGAAAGAAATGACACTAAGCATGCGCCGCACGCGCTTCGTTGAACTTTTTTCTTTTTTTTCTTTTTTGTCGATTTTTTCAATGAATGAACAATATTTATTAATTTCTTCAGAGAACGAGATCAAAAACTTCGTTTAAAACGAAGTTTTGGACTAAACTTTTAACAGTAGAATTCGATTTTCGGGTCAAATGGGCCAAAAACACGCAGTCTCATATACATGTATATATCTCATATATACATGTACTGGAGTCGCCTTCGGCACTATAATTTAGCGCGTTTTTCTGGGGACTTGTAAAGTAAAGTCGTTCCCTGTGAATATTTGAATGTCATTTTCATGTACACTCTCGCGTAAAAATATACACGGAGAAGTGACGTCGCAATGAGGTGTTACAGAGATGTTAATAAAATTGTAATGATAAAGGGCAGCGAGAAATTCAAATATTGAATATATTATAGTGATTTCAAATGTGTAAAATGTAAATAAAAGGAATGTTTTTAATTTAGTGTGTGTATAAATCACAAAAACGTGTTAAGTATGGAAGGATTATCTTAGTTGATATTTTTTTTTATAATGATTAATTTTAAATTTAAAAGAAATGGAGATTTACAATTTCGTACTTATTTTTACAAATTATCCATATTTTTTATGAGAAGTATGAAACTTCATTCAAAGATTAGAATTTCGCACCAGTTTTAAATGTAGGGATCAAAAACGTTAAACTTTTGAAAAATAATTTTTTTTTAAGTTTTGCAAATTATTTATTCAGGGTAAAATCAAAGAAATTTGTAAAGAATTAATTAATTATGTATGGAAACTGTTTAAACTATTTCTGACACCAGCGAGAAAATGACCCTTTAAAGATTAAAATGACAGCTGTGGAAACTTACTGTATCAAATGTAATAAACGATTCTATGAATACGCATATCTTTGCCCTAATAGCCTTAGAACATTTTAAGACATGTAGATATTGTTTTCCTTTAATGAGGATAAAACGGTTTGTATCATTAATGTAAGGTATTGTATAGATATAATTTCATTACTTAAGCTTAAAAGCTTTCAGAAATTAACACTTCAAAGTATAAGGCTGCTTAATATTACCCGTATATATTCGCCTGACAAGAATATTCCTACCAAAACGAAAGTTTTTGCATCAAAAAATGAAAAGGGGTCATTATCCTACGGGGTCATTTTTCTACAATGCGCACGGAGAAAAACGACCCCAAGGCCATAACTTCTACAGAAAAGTGGGTCATTTTTCTACGTAGAATATTGACCAGGGGGTCAAATTTCTACGTAGAAAAATGACCCCGGTCAATATTCTACGGGGGTCACTTTTCGTCGTTACAGCGGACAATGCCTTTCAAGAGTAGTGTTCAGCTATAAAGCTACTGGCGAGCTCCAGAGGGGCAAATTTCTTCTTGAAATATTTTGATACAAATCAAAAACTCAAATGAACAAAAAGTAATTTTTGTTTATATGCTGCGCATTGTATTGCTGCGTACATAAAAAAAACAGCCCAGTCGCGTCGAACATAAGCTAAAGAAATTGCTTAACGATGCCAAGTCTAATTCGAGTGCGCATGACTTTGCGCAGTTTTTTAATTTCATGCAGTCACTTGTGCGAAAGTACACATTCGAAACATATGATTTTAACACAAAATTAACTGTAATCCCTACTGGTCTGAAAATGTGATTTCACGACAATAATTAGGAAAAAACGCTGAAGTCTCTCTAACAATGTCACCATTTTTGGATTTTGATTGCAATGCATGACGCTGTAGAATGACGCATGACTCGCTTGTATGTTCAAAACGTCCATGGATATTATAATAAAACCCGACACAACATCCAAAGAAACATACTAGCAATCTAAATATTGCTATTTTTCACCGAAAAAAAAATCATATGCGCCGATAATTTACCTGCACAGATATGTATTAATACTGTAACATATGGCAATTTTAGAGGTATTGGGCTTTGAAAAATACGCATAGGAAATAATTCCTAGATCAACCTAGATGGTGAACTTTTTTGAAATTTAACAATTTGGTGTCTTTTTACACCAACTTTCAACTACTTGAATGAAAATGAAATCTCTAGGGCAGAAATGCAAAAGATATGGAAAAAAAAAGATAATTTAGCGCTTTTCCAGCAAAGTCCCATTGGTCCAATAGTAAAATTTGACTACTTTTGATATGGCCTCCTAAGAAATCGGGATTGTAAACATTTGATTTTTTAATCTTAAAAAAATTAATTTGATAGTAAAAATTATCAAAAAAATATGGCAGAAATAATTAGACTCGGCCTCGTTAAGTCGGTTTCCGTTTTAAAAATCCTAAAACTTAACAAAATCTACAAAGGTCGGGAGTCGGTGGTCCGAGCGGCTTGGCTGTTGCTCTCCAACTGCCAAATATCCTCACATGATCATTGATATAAAGATACAAAGTAATATTTAAACAATAGAATTAATGAAAGAGTGAAAAATACAAATAGATACACTGTATCAATTAACGGATTAATAAAATAAACATAATGTCATTTAATTGTTCAGATTAAAGTCACGCAAAGCGGCATGACAGGGGAGAAGGTGTTATGTCCTTGGGGTGCATTTCACACGGTGATAGTTGCCTATTCCTCCAAAAGAACACGTCCTCGTGTTCCAAGGTTGCGCACATCTTTGGGGCCTTGCACTTGTCCCCTCTGTGTAAGACCTGGAATCGAGATTAACACGGTCATTGTACCTGGCAAACTTCACATGTCTACCACTTGTATTTATAACGTGTCACATCACTTGTGTGCTTTGAAGGTTGTCTATCTGTTCCGCGAGACTTTTGTCTGTTGTTTCTTGTCGTTGTTTTGAATTATATTAGACATTTGTTTCACTTCCTCTTCCAGTTTAATGACCAATTTGTCGCGTTCTTTCAGCTTTGCTAATAACATTAGATGGCACCTCTCGAAAAATGCTGCTCATGCAGTTTGGTGGTCAGCTTCTTCACATAGAACATTTATTCTGTAGTGCACAGCCTCTATTTCATTCTGAAAGAACTCCTCTTTAAAGTCCGAGTCCTTGATTTTGAAAAGGGAAGTTGTGCAAGGATTAAACGCTTTTCATTAAAGTTCCTTCTCCTTTCTCTGTCGCGTTGAATTTTTCTAGCCGATTTCTTTGATTCTGTTTGTTTTAAGCTTTTCGTCTTCCCTGTAACTTTAATAGCCAAAACCTCACTTCGGCGGTCAAATTTCTGTGTCCTACACATCCGCGCGAAATGTCCATTCCTGCCGCAAATGAAGCACTTGGAAATCCTGGCAGCACAACAAAACCATTTGTTTGTATGTCCACATCTTCTACATATTTGATTTTCGTTATGTACGAAGTACATCGAACGGTATGGTGTAAACAACGCTAGTCCAAACAAGTACTTGAACGAATCCATTTGGGGAGAAATTAGCTCTGCATTCTTTCTGCATTCTGCGTATCAAGCTAAAAAGGTTGATACACTGGATTCTCTCACCAATTGTAAAACAGAGAAATTGCTTAAGTCGATTTCCGTTATACAAATTTATTAAAACTCTTAAAACTTAACAAAATCTACAGGGTCGGGAGTGGGTGGTCAAAGCGGCTTGGCTGTCGCTCTCCAACTACCAAATATTCTCACATGACCATTGATATAAAGATACCAAAGTAATATTTAAACATTAGAATTAATGAAAGAGTGAAAAATACAAATAGATATCAATTAACGGATTAATGAAATAAACATAATGTCAGTTGTTCAGATTAAAGTCACTGAAAGCGGCATGACAGGGGAGAAGGTGTTATGTCCTTTGGGTGCAGTTCACACGGTGATAATATCATGAAGTGTGGTAAATAAAATCTTTTTTAACAATTATTATTTCAGGTTAACGTAAACTATTGATATTTTTTATTGGAAGGTTGTTCTTACTGTTTAGATCCTTATTGTGTTTTTGGTCGGGTATATTGCAAGTCTACAAGCTGAGTCCCTGACAGAAAGATCAAACAACTCTCGTAAGTCATACAAGTCCTCTAAAAGAAAGAGATTGGTTACATGTTTATGTATCATAACAATTTTAACATCGCCTGAAAAATTCAATGTTTATTTCAAACTGCTTTTGTCTGATTCATCAGTAAGTGGCATACAAGTAGTGGTTAGAGCGTTTGTTCTTGAGTCGCGGGTTTGAATCCCAAATGTGGACATCCTTCAGATGAGATAATTATAAGAAACATAGAAGACAATGGTTGAAGAGAATTAAAAGAAATAAGGTTTCCTAAATGCTTTATATATACCAAAGACACGAGAAATAAAACAATGTCAAATTTCGGGACGCCCTGTCCTTTCCTCAGGACAAACAAAAGAGTTTAAAAGTCATAAGAACAAAGGAAAAGGAGAAACAAAAAACAACTAACACTACTACTGAACTACCAAACACTATGTTTTTACAATGTTACATGTTGAATTCGAAAGTTAATTATCATTAGTAAAGAAAGAAATCCGGACCGCTTTGAAATACGTCCGGTCTGCCGGGTGTACTAATATAATATAATATATATATTACGATAGATTTTGATTACAAGTACATGCTTTTTTTCAGGTTTTAGATGTATGACATATATTGTAAAACACCCTATATATTGTTTTAGACACTGACCACAATCCTAACCCATGCCAACATGGTGGGACTTATACACGATTAAAAACATCCAAATCTTCGAGTGAAGAATCCAAGACACCAAGGGGGCCTAAGTTTACATGTACCTGTCCTGAGGGGTTTTATGGGATAGTATGTCAGTGTAAGGCATCTTGTGTTTTAAAAATATTATAAGGCATTTTTTCTCTAATTATTATCGTGTACTTATAAAAATAGGCAAAGTAATATCATCTCAATGCTGAAAATACTAAAAGACGTTGTTTTCAAACCTCGACTTAGATCATAAAACGTAATAAGCTTTATTCTCTCATATATTCAATGTTCGTGAATCATGAGGACTTACCAGAGAGATATAACAATGAATCTTTTTTTTTTAAATAAAGCGTTTCGTTTCTGTAGTTCATGTATGCAAAAAACATGACTGTCAGAAGGGAACGTGTGAGGCAGATAAGACCAGTGTACGTGGTTACAAATGTAACTGTGACGAAGGTTACAAAGGGGAAAATTGTGACGGTAATGTATCTAAAAGTGTAAGCTACATATTCTCTCATATATTCAATGTTCGTAAATCATGAGGTCTTACGAGAGAGATAAAACAATGAATCTTTTAATGTAAGTTTTGTTTCTGTAGTCCAAGTATGCGAAAAACATGATTGTCAGAAGGGAACTTGTGAAGCAGATAAGACCAATGTACGTGGTTACAAATGTAACTGTATGGAAGATTACAAAGGGAAAAATTGTGAAGGTAATTTATCTAAAAGTATAAGCTACATTCTCTCATATATTCAATGTTCGTAAATCATGAGGTCTTACGAGAGATATATATAACAATGAATCTACTTAAGGTATTCAATGATCATATTTTGTACCTAATAAATGAACGGTTCGATATTTATACCCCCAGCTTGAAAAGTGGGAGGGTATACTGTAATCGGTATGTCCGTCCGTCCGTCTGTAAAGGTTTAGGGTACCCATCTCTTATCCGCAACTCCTCTTATACCACTGAGTGAAATTTAATGAAACTTTCATAGAATCTATATTACATATTGCCATGTGCACCTCCTATTTTACTTTTTGATCCTACACATATTTTGGGCTTCCCGGCCACAGCAAAACATGGACTTTGTCATCAGTCATTAACATATGGGAGGCGGGGGTATCATTTAGTGAGCTCATTGCTCACAGTACCTCTAGTTTTAATCATGGTAGTATTTTGAAGATGTTATGAAATAAAAATGCCCCACTAAAGGAATTTACAAAATTTTGATTATTGTCCAATTAATTTCACCTTGAATTTTACAATGAAGTCTATAAGCAGCGCATGTTTTTAGGTCACCTGAGTAACTCAGGTGACCTAATATTGCTATCTGTTTTCGTCCGTCGTCGTCCGTCGTGCGTCGTCCGTCGTGTGTTAAGATTTGAACATTTTCAGCTTTTTCTCTGAAAACCAATTAATCAATTTCAACCAAATTTGGTATACAGCATTTATGGGAGATGGGGAACAAAAATTGTGAATTTATGGTCCCCGCTCCCCTGAGGCCTGAGGGGTGGGGCCAAAACCACCAAAATTATTGCAATCTTTAAAAATCTTCTTCTTTACTCCTTGACAACAAGCAGGCAAACTGTTTGCATGAATGTAATAAGCATTGAATCCTCTACCAAAATTGTGAAACTCAGGGGTCAGTGGTTCTTGTGCTAGGGCGGGGCTATATAGATCATATAGTGAAAATGCATTATTTCTTTGAAAATCTTCTTCTCTGCTCTTGGGTATGAAGTAAACTAACTAAGTACATAGGTATGTTGAGCAAGAGTGCCTCTTCCAAAATTGTGAATTTTATGGCCCCAGGGTCAGGGGTTCTGGTGTTAGGGTGGGGCTCTATTGATCATATAGTGAAAATGCATTTATTCTTTGAAAATCTTCTTCTCTGCTTCTGAGTATTAAATAAACCAGCTAAGCACATAGTTATGATGAGCAAGAGGGCCACTTCCAAAATTGTGAATTTTATGACCCCAGGGTAAGGGGTTCTGGTGTGAGGGCGGGGCTCTATTTACCTTATAGTGAAAATACATTAATTCTTTGAAAATCTTCTCTGCTTCTGGGTATTAAATAAACTAAGTACATAGTTATGATGAGCAAGAGTGCAACTTCCAAAATTGTGAATTTTATGGCCCCAGGGTCAGGGGTTCTGGTGTTAGGGTGGGGCTCTATTGATTATATAGTGAAAATGCATTATTCTTTGAAAATCTTCTTCTCTGCTTCTAGGTATTAAATAAACTAACTAAGTACATAGTTATGATGAGCAAGAGTGCCTCTTCCAAAATTGTTAATTTTATGACCCCAGGGTCAGGGGTTCTGGTATTATGGCGGGTCTCTATTGATTATATAGTGAAAATGCATTAATACTTTGAAAATCTTTTCCTTTGCTCCTGGGTTTTATGCCAATGATCCAGATATATATATATATATATATATATATATATATATATATATATATATATATATATATATGCCCAAAATGGTTATTTTTTATGCCCCCTGGGTCATAGGGGGGTGTATATAGTCTGAAAATAAATTAATGCTTTGAAATCTGCTCTTTAGTATTAATCAACCATTTTATGATAAAATTTGCAAAATTTTGAAATATGTGGCCCCGGCCCAGGGTCAGTGGTTCCTTTTGGGTGAGGTGCACAACTGGTTATAAAGTGGAAGTGCATTTTATCTTTGTTACTCTGATCTACCTCTGGGTAGTAAGTAAATAGAGTAAGCATGCTAGGTTTATGATTATGATAAGCAATGGTGCCTCTTTCAAAATTGTGAATTGTGAATTTCATGGCCTCTGGTTTAAAACACGAACCAAAGTTAATTGTTTGAAAGTTGTTACACAATACTCAGGTCACCTATAAGGCCCGTGGGCCTCTTGTTATAAGATATTGTAAAAAGTAATTTGAATTTCAAACAAATCTCTTGGTGAATATATGCATAAACTCCCTCCTTATTATACTATAAAATAAAATGAATTATTTACCGCAGAAATTTTGAGAAATCAAAAATTTTCTTTTTTTCATCAAGGGCAGACAACTCTTCAAAAACTTTGAATGTGCAAAATGGCCGTCTCCTCACAAGTTATCAGTCTTGTGAATTTGGTTCATATAACTTTTATCGTTATCTAGCAATGTGTTTTAACTAGTTTAAAATTATTTGAAATCGTTCAAAATCCTTTCGATATAAATTGAATACCTTAATTTAAAAGTTTTGTTTTGTAGTCCATGTATGCGATCAACATGTTTGTCAGAAGGGAACGTGTGAGGCAGATAAGACCAGTGCACGTGGTTACAAATGTAACTGTGACGAAGGTTACAAAGGGGAAAATTGTGACGGTAATGTATCTAAAAGTGTAAACTACATATTCTCTCATATATTCAATGTTCGTAAATCATGAGGTCTTACGAGAGAGATATAACTATGAATCTACTTAATTTAATGTTTAATTTTAAAAAAATGTATAATTTTGTTTCTGTAGTCCATGTATGCGATCAACATGACTGTATGAATGGAACGTGTGAGGCAGATAAGACCAGTGCACGTGGTTACAAATGTAACTGTATGGAAGGTTACGAAGGAGAGAATTGTGAAGGTAATTTATCTAAAAGCAGGGTTCTCCACAAGGTGTTTTACCATGGCGGCCCGCCATTGTTAAATTTATGTGCGCCATGGTTAAACGAGATGCGCCATGGTTAAAATCAGCATCCGCCATGATTAAAGAACTATATGCGGTATATTGCATATGTTTGCCCCCACAAAAGTCAAATTTTGAAAACTGAAATGTGCTGAATTCAATAAATTGTACGAGAAATATAAGTTAACAGAAAATATTATAGTTCCAGAGCAGTGTATTCACAATTTCTGTTTTTATGACGTCACAAACTAGTTCGATTTTATATTATTTTTCAGAAAGAGGACAAAATGGACAAAATTTCAACAATTTAAGCTTTAGAATTTATAGAGCGCATGTGTGTTCAGGAACAATATTGACATATTTCATTGATATTATCATTCTACACATTATATCAAAATATTAATCCTGAACACACATGCGCTCGGTGACTTTTATTTAAAATATCGACGAAATATGTACATTTTTCTGCAAAATTCATAAAAAACTGAAATTTACGTCATATTTGTGACGTCATTACGTACATATGACGTCATTACTTATGAAATTATTCAGTGTTTTGAAGTCGGCATATACTCCCCTGTTTAAGGACTTAATTAAATATTACTCCATCAAAGTTTGATTTGGGGGGCAAATGTTGGTTAATACCGCATATAGTTCTTTTAAAGCTAAAATTGTTGAAATTTTGTCCATTTTGTCCTCTTTCTGAAAAAGGATATAAAATCGGACTAGTTTGTGACGTCATAAAAACAAAAATTGTGAATACACTGCTTTGACACTATAATATTTTCTGTTAATTTATATTTCTCATACAATTTATTGAATTCAGCACATTTCAGGAAGTTTTCAAAATTTGACTTTTGTGGGGGCAAATATATACAATATACCGCATATAGTTCTTTATAGAGCGCAAGTTTGTTCAGGAACAATATTGACAAATTTCATTGATATTATCATTCTACACATTATATCAAAATATTGATCCTGAACACACATGCGCTCGGTGACTTTTACTCAAAATATCGACGAAATATGTACATTTTTCTGTAAAATTCATAAAAAAAAAACTGAAATTTACGTCATGTTTGTGACGTCATTACGTACATATGGCGTCATTACTTATGAAAATATTCAGTGCTTTGAAGTCAGCATATACTCCCCTGTTTAAGAACTTAATTAAATATATCTCCATCAAAGTTTGATTTGGGGGGCAAATATTGGTTATTACCGAATAAAGTTCTTTGTGGAAATTCTCAACAAAGATAAAAAAGGTTTTAAAAGAATTTATGATACATACATGTCTCTGTGTATATATACTTCACAAAAGTGTGAATCAAAATTTGCTAAAGAACTGTCCCAAATAAACCCAATTTGATCTCTTTAGATTGATTGATTGATTGTATACTGTTTAACGTCCCTCTCCAGAATATTTCACTGATATGGAGACGTCACCATTGCCGGTGAAGGGCTGCAAATTTAGGCCTATGCTCGGCACTTACGGCCTTTAAGCAGGGAGGGATCTTTATCGTGCCACACCTGCTGTGATACGGGGCCTCGGTTTATACGGTCTCATCCGAAGGACCGCCCCATTTCGTCGCCTTTTACGACAAGCAAGGGGGTACTGAGGACCTATTCTAACCCGGATCCCCAAGGGGCGGTCTCTTTTAGAAGAATGGATATTTGACAAAAACTGGAAAAATAATAAAACTTGATAATGTATAGTTATACTCTTTTCTTCAACAGAAGACACAGCTATCAATCTTATATTGCTACTTATTAAACAATACATATTTCAACAATCAAGAAAAAACTAAAATTTTAGTATAACTATCCAAAGTGTCATTAAATACTTATATATGTGTATTATAATTTTTGAAGAAAAACTGTATAAGGTTAAAAAATGAACTTCATGTGTGTAAAAGAAGATGGAATGACTAGAATCACGTATTTGAAAACATAAACATCTAGATATAATGTCATCTATTTTATCATATTTGTGTAATATGTGTATTCATTTTTTTTGTTTATTCGTGATATTCCAAAACTGTACATTTTTAACTCTCCAAGGCTGGTGTGTCTGTGTATGTGTATGTATGTTTGTGTTTAAAGTCAATGAAAAAATATATTCTTTACCTTTTTAGAAGGCTCACGTGAACTTTTTTGTCTGTCGTCGTCATTGTTGTCGTCGTCGTTGTCGTCGTCATCGTCATAAACTTTTCACATTTTCATTTTCTTCTCAAGAACCACTGGATCAACCAAACTTGCTACAAAGTATCCTTGGGTAAATGGGATTCAATTTTATTCAAATGTAGGGCCACGCTCTCTTCCAAGGGGAGATAATTATGATTTTGTTAAAAATTAATTGCATTCTTAAAAAATATTCTTTTCAATAACCACTAGTCCAGGAAAGATGAAACTCATGTTTAATCATGCTCAGGTAGTGTACATTCAAATTTGTTCAAATCATGACCCCCAGGGGTAGGGTGGGGCCATAATGGCCGATCCAAATTTTACATAGGAATATACAGGAAAAATCCTAAAAAATCTTCTCAAGATCCATAGGGACAGGAAAGATGAAACTTATGTTAAATCATCCTCAGGTAGTGTACATTCAAGTTTGTTCAAATCTTGACCCCTGGGGGTAGGGTGGGGTTTTACATAGGAATATAAAGGTAAAATCTATAAAAAAAAATATTCTTCTCAAGAGCCACGGGACAGGAAAGATCAAACTCATATTGAATCATCTTCAGATAGTAAACATTTGAGTTTGTTCAAATCATGACCCCGGGGTTAGGGTGGGACCACAGTGGCCGATCAAAGTTTTACATAGGAATATACATGTAAAGGGAAATCTATAAAAACTTTATTCTAAAGTACTGCAAAGCCATGATTAGTGATATATATATATACATATATATGAAAGCATCCTCAGGTAGTGTACATATCATAACCCCCATGGATAGGTTGGGGCCATAATGGGGATCCAAGTTTTACATTAAAATATATCTTAAAAAATCATCTTCTAAAGAATAGCAAAGCCATGATAAGTGATATTTATGTTGAAGCATCCTCAGGTAGTGTAGAATTAAATTTGTTCAAATCATAACCCCCAATGGTAGGGAAGGGTCTCAATGGTAAATCAGAGTTTTACATACAAAAATAAAGGGAAAAATCCCAATAACAGAAAAGCTATGTATAGTCATATTGACTTGTAAGCATCCTCATGTATTGAAGATTTAAATTTGTTCAAATCCTGAGTACCCTTTTGGGTAGGTAGGGAAACAATGGAAAGTGAAATTCAAATTATTACAAAGTAATATTATATATACAAACAAAATGTTAAAAAAAAAAATTTAAATGTTTTTCTCAAGAACTTTCTCAATAAGTTATATGCAGTACTTATTGATATAGAGGCATTCTCAAGTAGTATTAGAATTCAAGCCCCCTCCCTCTCCCACCCTCTAAGTAAATTTTTCAATTCTTATCTGATTTGTGCTTTTTCCTAGCTCGGTTGAGCGATGTGGCCCCTGGGCCTCTTGTTGTTTTAGCTATACAATGATAAGTGAAATTCTTTATTAGCAGAACTAATGTGGAGATTTATGAAGGTCTGACAATCACAAACTATCAGTTAAGCTAGTGTTGGGTTATGTTGATGACTGATGATCTATACCTGTAGATCACTGAACTAACTCGGGTTATACAGTGATTAATGACATTTTCATAAATCAGTAGAACAAGATATTATTACTATGTTTATTTATTTTATTATCTTTCAGTTCGGAGTTGTACTCACCCCTGGATAAAACACGACAATTACTGCTTCTTCTTCAGTGATAACCAAGTCAGCTGGACAAAGGCATCGGTTCGAATCCTTTTTCAGATCACTTTTACAAGTTTTAAAAGAATGGTTATTTATTATAAACAGAAGAATTGAAATAGATATATCTTAAAATAACATTTTGTCTACCATGTTTAGACCAATAATGTATTAAATAATTCAATTAACCATTTACTCACAGGAAATATGCCGTTCATTTGACTCATTTCTGGCTGAACCGATCACACAAGACATCAACAGTTTTATCGTTTCAAAGATAAGTGTCACGAGTGAGTAAATTGTTTAAAATCTTTTTACTGTTAATGAAAACTATAGATAAATATTGATGAAGTATATTGTAAAAAGATAAGCAACTATATATATAAATGCACTAAAAATTAACGGAGTGGATCCAGGTCGGGGAGAGGAAAGATGGACATGACGTCCTAGTTAGCAGTTTCCATAAACTACTGTATTCACGAATACTAATCGTCGCCAATCAAATATTTTGAATTTTATATGTAGACAATGTTTCCTCAGTCGGAAGAAATAATCTTTGCAGTTTAATTTCAAACTGACAAATCGCCAATAAAAGATGGCGCGAATGAAAGTTAGATTACAGTATCTTTAATAATTATTAGTATGTTGGAACAGGGGAGAGGCGGGGACAGAAGTGGTGTGACCACCCAAAAAACCTTGCTTATATATATATTTTTTAAAATGATTCAAGCTACTAAAATTATTTCTTATAGGCCCAATTCATACTTTTAAAGAACAGCTAATCAAAAATTAAATAAAGATGAACTGACTTCACTTCCACATCTCGTACAATTCAGTTTAGGTTAATTTTACAATTTACAACCGTGGGTAAAGTTAGCAAGAATTTGAGTGGGTTAATTTAAGTCTGTTTATATACATCATTTGTATTAACTCTTACATGTCTTATGGACTATCGCATTAGAATCTGTCAGATCAAACATTGTTTTTCAGATCCAAATCTTATAAAAGTATATTGGCTGGGTGGTTCCGACATGAAGGAGGAGGGGAAGTTTGTATGGCCGTCCCAGGGGAAGCCTTTCTCCTTCACATTCTGGATCCCCGGGGACCCAAACAACGGTAACGGGGAAGGTGAGGAGGACTGTGTACTGGCCAACTGGAATGGGGACGGACGCTGGGCAGACTACTTTTGTGACAGGCAGTTGTATTACATCTGTCAGAAATAGTAAGTTTTAGCTGGTCCATACTATAAAACAACAATCAATATAAAGAAAAAGAAGAGAAATGTGGAGAGAGGATTGTGCAGTGCTGTTTTTATCGAACTTTAACAAGAACTATGTACCCATGATTTCACATAATGGGTTATAGTGAACAAATTCGATTTACAAAGGCACTCACAAGAATAAAAATTTAAATAATTGTTCTATTTCTCTTGATAGTACTTAGTATATCATAATGCTTACAAAATACTTGAAATTTGCAGAAAATTAGCTCATTGCTTCAAAGCCTTGTGTATTTTAAAATAACTTAGAGACTTTTGAATTTTTCGTACATTAATTTTTTATTTGTTTCAGGAGTTACGATGAGACTACGATTATCAAATGAAATAAATACATGTATAAATACCTGGTCATAATAAAGTACACAACATTTCCTCTGTTTCAATAAAATGTTTTGACACCTGAGGTTTTGTTTGTTATTTTTTTTCAAAAGAATAAAATGGAATATGTCTTACCTTATTGATATTTCGTTATATACCCCTTTGCCTATGTAACAGTCTTAAGTTTTCGTCGGAATAGACCTGTACAAGTTTTAACTCTCTCTGATTTAATCGACATTTAAATTTAATTCACGAATCGAATTAAGCCCTGCTGATTTTTAATGTAGAATTACCGGTGTTCTAGTCTAACTTTGATTGTTCTCCATATATTTTCTTTGATGTAACTATCTTGTGATTGACTTGGCCAAGTTGGTAGGAACATTATTTTCTTTTTTCTAAGCAACAGTCTGTCGAGATTGGTGAACAGGGCAGTTGTCTTCTTGTAATATCCATGGACTTTCACCAAATTCTTTACCAACAAGGGTTCACAAATTGTCATCCAAAAACAGAGATATACTTCTCAGAATTAACATTCACTCGACTTCTGTTAAAGTTCTGACACCATGGTAAGAAAAACAGCCCCAAAACATGGCTGATTTACCAGAGTCGGGGGAGTGATTACTGTACATTATACATACCGGGACTATGCTGGCCGAGATATTTCACCGGGTTTTTCTCCAGACATAGAATTTCCTGTCCCTGCCTGAAATAAGTTTTATTTCATCACTGAAAATAACTCATGACCAGCTTTGTTCAACTGTCCAGGCCAATTTAGGAAATTCGAGCTCGGAAATTATATTTGGAAATTTCAATTTTCTTGGAAACACACCATCGCTGGTAACATTGCTCCTTTAACCTTCGTCGAACTGTCCTGCTGAAAACTTGCTGAGGTATAGATTCATTAAACTGCTGGTTAATTTTGACGAAGTCTGTCTCAGATTTGTTTAACCAACCCTTCCAACACACGATATCCCCTATTACTCACCAATCTTCTCCTCCCCAACCTTTCCATGTTCTCCACTAACCCCCTTTCATAGTTTCTATTCAACACCTTCTGCAAAGTATTTGACCTTATTGTACATGTTACTAGTTTTAACTTGGAATTGTTGAAATGTGAGATGTGACCATGAGAAATCCACCAAATAGTGGTTTACAATTCTTTCAAATAACCTTTTCCAATATTTAATTGATCTGCCATTGTAGTCTCTCATAGTAAACACACTGGAGTGTTATCGCCCAAAATTATTATACTTATCAGCAACTTTTTAATACATGTATCATATCCAATATTTCTATGTAAAGGTAACAATTTTATTTTCTTCCCATTGACCTTGAACTTGCCCAAAAGACCTGGAGTAAAGGTCATGATACAATCGAGATCACAATTAATCTTCTTGTGAAGTATTTTTTATTGTATAAATTTCGTGCAAGAGACTGTATGCATGAACATTCTTAAAAGGACTTTGTATAAATAAAGTACTATTTTCTGCTTATCATATTGGAGTTTTACTTAGCATATTGCTTAGCGTGTTGCATAAAATTTCTCAAACTCTTAGTATATGCTCAGTATATGCTTAAAGTTAAGCATTGTATTTACCATTCTTAAACATATTGCTTTAGGTCTCACACAAGGAAATAATTTCACTATATATTAGCATATAGCTTTTAAATTATTTAATTTATAATATCCAGAAAATTCATGAAAGAGAAAATAAAGATTAATACTTAAACAAAAATTTGAGATTGAAAAAATATTACTTATGCGGCTTTTAAGAAAGAAAATCGACAGTAAACTTACCTACCCCGAAGTATGCACTTTCAGTAAATGTTGACAAACAGCCTACACACCATCCAGGAAGTTGCATCATGCGCACCTGAAAAAAGAGTTTTTTAATTCAGTGCGATAATTCTGCTAAAGAAATGATATTCCTAGTACATGAGTCCAATTTTAATACTGTAGGCCTAAAACAAATTGCCAAAAATTTCTCAAAAAGAAAAAAAAATTGTCTCTAAATATATGGAACTTCAATTGACTAAGTTCATTTTGATTGGCTATTTCCTTGCGTAAGACCTTTAAGATGTTTTAGAGAGGTGTAGAAATAATTAAAAGAATTTTATAAAGAATGAAATAAACAAAAATATGAAAAGTAATTAAACCAATGAAATAAATTACAATCTGCATGTTTTTAATTTATTATCTAACATTTTATACTTTTCAATACTTTACAAGATGCCAGTGATCTATTATCAAAACGGTTTAAAAAAGAGACATCGTTTGATTTTTGCGAAGTTTCTTACGTCCAGCACCTGTGACAATGAAGTGTAGACGGAAGAGCCCTTTCGAGTTCTCCAGTGCAATGAACTTCTAAATAGATCTGGTTCACGGGCACTTGTTTCTGAAATTCTTTTTTAACCCATAGTATAATTATTGATTATACTATGGATTAAAAAAAATATTTCCGAAACAAATAAATTCTAGTCATTTATAATAAAAACCTGTGTAACTGTAAGTGCTAAAAGGTCAAGAATAGAATCGCCAGTAAATGACCTTTCTCTCATAAATGTGAGGCGAAAGTTATATATTTAATCACTTTTTGTAATAATTTGGATAGGTTCTTTGTCATATTTAAAATTGAAAACGTTCTGACAAATACTTCTGAAATATATTTACAAAAGTAGGGTTGAACATTAACTTAAGAAAATAGAGTTCATTTGTCTATTTTTTTTAAAATGTGGACTTATCTTTTATGTCAATTGAATTAAAAGAATTTATCATTGAGATATATTGTTTAATACTGTTCAGTTAAAGGTGCATGGACACAGATTTGAAGTTAATATTTCCTTTATAATGTTACGACTTATATATTTTAATAGCATGTACATGTTATAGGACCTGTTTACAGATCTGTAATTGTTAAAGCCAGAAAAAAAGCTAAAAGTAAGGCATAAAAGTAAAATAACCATGCTTCATTAAACTGATTGTTAATGTTAGGTGCCTAGTTGGCAATATTTTGCGCCGTAAAAAAAACATTCGATTTCAAAAGCGTTTGGATTTCCCTCTCGGTCCACTGAAAGCCTTATCATTTTTGAAACCGAGAAAAAAAGATAATTATGTCCCATGGGGGGGGGGGGTAATTCTTAAAATTGGATCCGGTTAACGTCCCATCCTTCGGAGTAAACAAGAGGCCCACAGGCCATGTAGGTCAACAATTGAATTTAGTTGGTGTTTCAAACCAATGGACATGATATTCACAACTTTGAAAGAGGCACCATTGTTTTTCATAATTATACAATCACATAGCATGCTTACTTTGATTACTTTATACCCAGGGTTAGATCAGAGTAACAAGGAGAAAATGCATTTCCACTTTGTCTTTACAACCAGTTGTGCACCCCACCCCACAGGAACCACTGACCCTTGGGCCACATACATGTACATGTATTTCAGGGGAACTGAAATTAACCATTTTGGAAGAGGCACTATCATTAATATGTACTTAGATCATTGGCATCATACCCAGGAGCAAAGGAAAACATTTTCAAGATCATGCATTTTCACTATATATTAGAAGAGCTCCGCCCTAACACCAAAACCCCTGACCCAGTGTCCATGGAATTCATAAATTTTGAAGAGGCATCTTTCCTCACCATAACTTTGTACATAGTTCATTGGTTTATTGCCCAGCAGCAGATCTAGAGAAGAAGATTTTCAAAGAAATAATGCATTTTCACTATATAATCTAAATAGCCCCGCCTAGCACTAGAGCCCTGGGCCTGGGGCCATAAAATTAATAATTTTGGAATAGGCAGCTTTATTCAACATAACTATGTACTTAGTTAGTTTATTTCATACTCAGGAGCGGAGAATAAGATTTCAAAGAAATAATGCATTCTC